AGCGCCTTGCAGCAGTGACATTCAGAAGGGCCTTGTCACTTGTTTGCTGACAAACAGCTAGTTCAAGACAGGACAGGAATTCAACCGAGCACCCTCTCCGTTCACCAAACCACCCTGCTCCTAAAATCTGTGAAATGTTCCTGTGTCCAGGTCTCCTGAAGCAGGCACCATCCGCATTCTCACTTTTTCTGAAGAGGACACTGGCGTTCAGAGACGTGAAGAACTTGCCAAAGAGCGTCCGGCTGGTGCTGAAGGAGCCAGTACTCGAACCCAAGTCCTGGAGCAGAGAATCTGGGCTGTTTGCTGGGGCGTCAGAGTGAGGAAGCTGCCGGGCTCCTCCCGGACCTGGTCAGCGACGAGGCCGGCACCCAGAGGCTCTACTCCCAGACACCTGCCCTCCCCAGGCCCTGGTCTCTCTGCAAGGAGATGGGGGACCTGAGACATGCGGGATACACGGTCCAGAAAGAAGCTGCTTAGCAAATGCAACACAAGGAGTTGCGGGCTCGTCAGCTGGTGATTCCGTCCTAACAGCCTCGGAACCACTGCGTTAGTCAACTCCCTGCCTCTTCTCTGGGTCTCGGAATTGTATTTCCGCTGGAGAAGGGCAGCCAGGGCCCCAAGAGGCAAACCCAACCACCAGCCAGCAAAAATCAGCCAAAGTTACTGAGCAAGAGAGAGTGCAGCGGCTCTGAGGGGAAAATGCAACAACCACAGAGTACGACCTTCCAAGGATACGTCCTTCCTGGTCTGTGCACACGTCAACACCGCCCTCTGCTGTCAGCCACCGGTATGACCGCGCAAGGCGACCTCCCCGCGACACAGCCTCCAGCCCCGCACTCTTCACATCAGTCTTGACTCCCACCTCACACGGAATAGGATACCCCCTAGGTTGTCAGAGCAGTGGCCCTGCCCCCTGGTAGGCGCAAAGAGATCGAAACCACTGACCCTGAACCTCAGCCCCGCAGAGCTGATCAGTGAGGTCAACGCCCTCTGAGCAGGGCTATGGGGCAGGTATCAGAAAAGGACAGTGGCTTTTCTTTCTTTTTGCTCTTTCTTCAAGGAGCATAGAGAGGAGAGTGTCCCTGGCTGTGGCCAGGTCTCCCAGTGGAAAGCACTCTGAGGTCTGACAGGTGAATTCAAGGGCATGGCGCCTGCCTCCCTCGCACCAGGCTGCCGGAAGTGACTCCTGCAGCCCCGTGGGGGACAAGGGAGCGACCTGGGGCTCCAGGGACCGCTCTGTCCCTCCAGCCCTACCCTGTGTTCTCTCTGGCTCACAGGTACCCTGGTGTGCCATCTGAAAGCAGATGCCTGGTGACGTTTAATGAACAGGAATGAGGAGCAGAAAACTGGCACTGTGGCCAAGTGACAGCCTGAGCCCCAAGTGACTTCCCTAGACCCCTGGGGGTGGAAGGTAAAGCCAAACTGACCCTGGAGGACTGACTCCCTCCCTCTGTGTCCTCACCTAGGACTGTGACTTGCTAGACCAAACAGCCACAGGTCCAAACAGCTGCATGAGGCCTGACTGACCAGGAATCCAAATGTCCTCCCTGGGGGCTGCAGAGTGACCCAATCTTCAGGTCTGAGTGACCTTCCATTAACAGCAGGCAAAATCACCTCAGCTGTAAACTCCTCTCCACACAGCCCCTCATCACAGAGTTAATGACCTGGGCTCAGCCCCGACTCTGTGGCTGGCTCCCCTACTTCACAAAGGGATCCAATCCTGAGATGGGTCATGTAGTGAAGCAGAGCGGTCCTGCGGAACAAGGGGAGTAACTGTGACTACATCATGGGCCCAGAGCACCTGGGTGGCGCTGCGGTTGGGTGTCTGACGCTTGATTTTGGCTCGGGTCATGCTCTCAGTGTTGTGGAATCGAGCCCCCACCTTGCCTTGGGCTCCGTGCTCAGCGGGGAGTCTGCTGGATATTCTCTCTCCCCCTCTCCCTCTGTCCTCCCTCACTTGCACTCTATCTCTAAAATAAATAAATAGGGGCTCCTGGGTGACCAGTAGTTGAGCATCTGCCTTCGGCTCAGGTCATGATCCCGGGGTCCTGGGATCGAGTCCTGCGTAGGGCTCCCTACAGGGAGCCTGCTTCTCCCTCTGCCTTTGTCTCTGCCTATCTCTCTCTGTCTCTCATGAATAAATAAACTCATTTAAAAAATTAATTAAATCTTGTAATAAATAAATAAATAAATCACGAACCTGTGACTGCACTTTCCAGGCAGCCTGGGCTTCCATGACTCACAGGATATCATGGGAGGGAAAGAAACTGGTCACCAAACATGCTGTAAATTCACGATGTGACCAACTCTTTGTTGCATAAACCCCCCAACAGCCTGTGGGCAAGGCCACGTGCATATGGCAGGGACAGAAGAATGAATACTTAATAATTAACCTTTCCTCAAGCCAACTAGGAAGATCAAACAGGTGCAGGAGGACTGATAAACAGGGCACCTCATGCTGAGTCCCAGGAGAGAAAAGGGGCAGGGTGACCATGCCTCCGCAGGGAGCCCGCCCCCTGAAGAGCTGGGCTCATAGCACGGGGATTGGGAGACCTTGAGACACATACATCCCTGGAGGACAAACTAGCCTGGGTCAGGGCCTGCCCAGGAAAGGGGGCAACCTGCTGGGGGAACATTGGGTACCCAAGATGAGGTAGGACTAGAAGGGAGGCAGGGTATGGGGGGAAGGCTCTGTCAGCATAGCACAATGCATCTGGAATATTCTATAGGCAGAGGAAGCCGTGGTGGAGTTGCTGGGGGTCAGGGTCAACTGTGAGATTGGATGCTGGTCTGGTGGGGAGGTACGTGGGCTAGAGGGAGTGGGAGATTAATCACAAAGCTACTGCTGAGCAATGCTCTGGAAGGATCCAAATTAGGGCCCCAGCATGGGGAGGCTACAGAGGCAGGAGGTCAGGGCACTGGGTTGAGTGAGTAACTGTCATGGTTATTTCTAGTATTGGGCTTATGGCTCATAGGCCTGTGCTAATCTTTCCTTCACCTGCACCCCAGACCCCTTCTGGGCCTCAAGGGGTCCCTTTACTTATCACTATTTCTCTCAAGCCCAAAACTACATTTGAGCTGCTTACCTCCTCCCTTTCCCAAACCCAGAGCCATCTAGTCAAGGTCCAGACCCCAGATAGGGGCTCAAAGGGGCTTTTCTGGTGCCATTGTCCTGTGACTTGATCTGAATGGGCTTTGCCTGTACCCCAGCCAGTGGTCTGACCCAGGGGCATCTCAGCACCCTCCTGTTCCCAGCTGCTCCTGGAGCTCACGGAAGCTTCCCAAAGGTACAGAGACAAACCGGAGGAGGATGGCACCCAGACCCTGGAACACAGCTGAGCTAACCCCAGGGCCAGGCCCGTGCACCTGCATTCTCTTGCTCCTCCTCACACACATGTTCACGCTCACAGGTGCACACAGGTGCACAACATTTGAACACACACACACAGAAATTCATGCCACACAGGGGCCTGTGAGAACGGCCATGGTGCTTGGCCGGGGCATCACTGAAAAATGAATAACTAATGAGTCTTGTTGCCGGCTGAGAAAGGACATGGGTGTCGGTGACAGCTGTAAGTACCAGAATACAGGGAACAGGGCAAGGTTCAGAGGTGAGGGAGCGAAAGGAAGATTGGGAGAAAGGAGGGCAGTACACAGAAAAGATTGAGAAGAAGAGCCAAAGCCCAGCCCTCAGTTGGAACCATCCAGAATTTGTTGGATGTGCCTGTGTGCCTCCTGCCCCTTCCTTCAGGTAGCATACAGGCACAGACACGCGCACACACACTCACTCAGACACAAACAGGTGTGCACGCGTGCATACTCACACGCACACAGAGGGAGAGCATGGTGCATTGTTGGCCAAAGCATGATGATAACAATGAGTGTTGCCTCTGAACACAAGCAGGCCACAGTGGAAGCCCCGGTAGAAAACCAAAGTCACCCTTAGTGTGCTTTTCAACTCATATTGGACTAAAGAAATATGAGAATCCTCAGAAATTAAAATCACTTATTCCCTGAAGTTCCACCTTGGGAGGACCAGGGAGAAACATGTTCTGTGTCCAGGCCGACATTTCTGCCCATCTCCCCTCCCAGAATACACGACCTCTGAAGGATGCACAGCGCCTCTTGGAGGCTTGCTCACTTGTGCCAAATGTTTCCAGACTCTGAGGGACCTTCCCAGCAGTCCCATCCCCCTCTGCGCACAGCCATGGGCCTCCTCGACCCGTGTCACTGACCCCAACCCCCTGCTCCTGTGCTGGTGTTGCTGCCACAGCTGACCCGGGTGAGCTAAGGCACCAGCCCAAGTGCCTCGGGTAACAGGTTCCGGGAGAAAAGTCCCAGACTAAATGGCACAGAAAATAAATCCTAGGAAGTCGCCTCGCCGTGACCAACAACATTGTTTCTGATGGATGAAGGGAGGACAGTCTTAAAAGCTGACTCTCAGGTGTCAGGCATTGTCCTAAGGACTTTACACATATTGATCCATTCAGAGCTCATATCAATACTATGGGGTAGGAACTGTTATCACCAGCCCTATTTTACGGATAAGCGACCCGAGGCAGAGAAGAAACCTGCTCAAGAGCACATTAAGCGGTTCAACCCCAGTCAGGGTCTGGGCTCTTAACCATCACAAGAAACTGCCTCTTCAGCATGTTTTCATTGAAAGCGATGACACTAACAGAGCCTGGCTTGTCCCTGACCAGGGGCAACTCTCCCAAGCCTCTGTGGCCCTGTAGCAGCCATGGTGACCCCTCTAGATTCTCGGGGTATGAACCTCAGAGCACCCACTCTGAAAGCAGCAGCAGTGCCCTGAGGCACCAACTCCCAGGAACAGAAAGAGCACTGCTTTCAGGATTCGCCAGGATCCTTCCTAAGCTCCCCTGCAGAAACTGGGCTCACACCCTCTGCCAGCACCCCTGTCCCGCCTCGCCCACCTGAGGGGAGAGGCAGACACAGACCAGGGCGAGGGGAGGGAGGCTGCACCCGGGGTTCTGACTTACTTGAAGAAATCCTCCTTGCAGTAGACACTCCCGGCCCTGGAGAAGCACCTGTCAGCCAGCTGCATCTGGCAGTCTGCACACTTGAGGCAAGAGCTGTGCCAGTGTCTGTCCAGGACCTTCAGGATGAACTTGTCCAGGATATGCTGGTTGCAGCCAGCGCACTGAGGGATCTCTGCGGGGAGAGGAGAGAAAGGCAGAGTGAGCCTTCCACACAGCACAGCTCACCAGACCAGACCAGACCAGTCCTCATGATTCATTTCCCACTGGAGGGAAAGGATATAACCCAAACTCTTGGGGCTGCTGCGTACAGCTGTGCAGGCTACAACATTGCACGAGGGTTGCTGATCAGGGGGAAAGGTGGGAATGAAATCCAGTCCACCTGTGTTTCCGGTTAGGAGGTGGGATTCTCAAGGAGCAGGAACAGTGCTTCCTTTGCAGCTTTGTGTCCTGGCTGCCTCACACCGTGCCTGGCACACACCAGTAGCTCCACAGATGTTTATCACTGGATGGATACTTGATCAAATCCTCTCTAAGAAGTTCACCTTGAAACAGTTAACCAGTTTCTCCTGTGCTCGCCAAAATATCAACAAAAGTAAAAAAAAAAAACAAAAACAAAAAAACCAAAGTAGGAAAACCAAATCTCTCAGGAATCATACGGGCTTCTTGATTCATACCATTTGTTGGCGACATAATTTAAAAGTGCTAACATTAGCCTCAAAGCACTGGGGAGAAAATGTGAACGCACCTAAATCTAAGTAGAAAACAAGCTCAAGTGCTAAGTCATTTGTATCTCAAGCCTGTAGATAGGCTATTGGGACACTCACAGTATGACATCACTAGTGTCATCATTAGGTCCACTAAACCCCAAACCCAGACTTTTCCCGTTATGGCCTCAGCAGCTCCCAACATTTGCCTGAAAGTCAGACCCACCAGGTGCCTTGCTCTTTGATCCCATTCTCAGACCAAAATGCTCCATGAAAATTACCAGGGACCACGATGAGGGAGATACCCATGGGTCTGGACATTGGTTACCTGTCCCTGTGCCTAGGGCATTTTTTTTCTATCTCAAAAGTTTTCCTCCTTAAAAAAAAGAAAAGATTTTATTTATTTATTTGACAGAGCACAAGCAGGGAGAGCTGCAGAGGAAGAAGGAGAAGCAGACTCCTCACCGAGCAGGGAGTCTGATGTGCTGCTCAATCCCAGGACTCCAGGATCCTGATCCCAGCCAAAGGCAGCCCTTTAAGGGACTGAGTCAAATAGGTACCCCAAAAGTTTTCCTCCTTGGCAAAAAAAAAATGTTCAACCAATTGGTTACTGAGTTACTTACCAAACAGTTCTGATGTGCCCAGCAAAGTACTAAGCACACAAGAGCAACAGGACTTCCATCCATTAAGGGGGAATGGGTAAGATACAGGGTAAAACGATGGATTCTAGACCCAGCCTGCCTGGGTTTAAATCCTTGCTCTGCTCTTTTTTTTTTTTTCTTGCTCTGCTTTTTAACCTTCAACAAATTACTTCCCATCTCTGTGCTCCTGTTAAAACGTATGTGTGCGCGTGTGAGAGACAGAGAGAGACAGAGAGAGAGAGAGAGAATAATAGCACCTGGTAGGATTGTTGCAGAGTGTTGTTGAATCAATATGGGTAGGAGTGGGCCAGTATACAGTAGGTGCTCAATAAAGGTCTGTGATTATTAGATGATTGCAATAACCAAGTGTTAGATGCGGTGCTGCTGTGGCTGAGGGGAAGGAAAGTCGGGGACCCTGGATCATGGACTTGATCTCCCTGGGCCCTCCCAGGAATCCCTGCATGGATGTGGGACCCTCACTAGAGGCTCAGAGAGTGCCCACCTGGCCGGGGCGTACCTGTCTGCCTGCAGGTAGTGTGCTCCCTCGGCTGCAGCCACTGTGCTGCCTCTCTAGGGACCATGGGGACTGGCAGCCCTGGAGCAGCAGGGACGGGGGCCAGAGGCCGGGGGCCTGAGCCACGGAGAGATCTGGAGGCGCAGAGAGGGGACTCTGAGCAGGGCGGGGTGAATCACCAGGGGCTCCTGCGGGGTGGGGGTGGGGGACCAGGCCAGCCTGCCCTGCCCGGGGGAGGGGGCGACAACTCTTGTAAAGAAGGTCGTGGGGAGGAGGGGCGCGGTGGGGTGCGGTGGGACTGCCCTGCAGCGCCCTGCGAAGGAGGGAGGCGAGGCCCTGGGCGCGCGGACGCGGCGGGCGCAGGGCGCCGAGCCCGTGCCCCGCAGTCGGGGGTCCGTCCCGGGGCGCAGGCCGCCGTCCGAGCCCCGCGGAGTGGGGGGACCCGGGGGGGGCGTCCTTGTGGGAGTCCCCGCGCCAGGCACCCGGGCGGCGGACGCCCCTGGGCCCGGGGACACCCGCCCGAGAGCCAGGTCCCCGCGCGGGGTGCGCGCCCCGCCCGCCCGCGCCTCGCCGGCTCCGGGGCCAGAGGGCGCCGATTCCCACCTAATTGTTGTCTGGCCTTGCCTCCCGGAGAGATACGGCTATATTTCTCCTCCCAGCCGCAAATGCAGGGGGATGAGGGCGAGGATGTGTGCTCATAAAATTTATTTCGAGCAAGGTACCTACCGGGAGCCTTAATATGATGAGTATTCAAGAGAGAATACATTAAGGCTAATGTATGCAGGGGAGGGCGGGCAGAGGAGTTCTAGAGGCTTGGAGACCGAGACATCACGTTTAGGAACAACACTAAGAGCAGACAAGACGAGCCATTTCGGCCTCCAGCTTGCAGGAATGCTTCCAGCTGGATGGGGCTGCCCCCGCTCAAACTCGGGGTTCTCTGGGGCGAGGGGGGAGCCCTGGGACCAAACTGGGGTCCTCGAGTTTGGCAAAAACGTGAGGGACATAAAAAAAAAAATAAAGGTTCCAGTCTTTTTTTTTAGAAAGACTGGTACCTTTAACACTGTATTCCAATGAAGATTGTGAGAAGGGATGGCATTTTTAAAAACAAAGATAGCATCACAATGACTTGAGAGATGCACAGTATGCCAATAATGGTTAAAAAAAAAACAGATGGCAAGAGCCCAATATGAACTCCACCAGGTCCTGGGTGTATATGACTCAATAATCCACACCACTTGGTGAAGAAAGCATCCTTATCCCCATCTTACAGATGGAAAAACTGAGCTTGGAGACATGAAGCAAAGCACCCAATGTGCCACAATGGGGGAATTGGGATTTGAACCAGGAGCCTACGCTTCAGGTAGGCTAACCCAGTCTGAGAGCTGGAGGGATCTGGACATGCCTCATCTGGCTGGCTCCACCTTGTCATTTTAGGGAGGGGAGGTAGAGGCAGAGAGGTAGTCTCAAAGCTGCTCTGCATACAGTGATAAAGGAGTAGATGAGCCACTGGCCTCTCGGGCTCCATAACAATTGGGCAAATGGAAATGTTTGAGACATACATTTAGATCATCGTGTGGACAGGGTGTGCATGTATGGGACGCACACCTAACGCCAGAGCGGGGTGGGAAGCAGAAGCCCCGGTCCTGCTGATCCCCCTCCCCGCAGCTGCAAGGTGCCAGCTTGTTGATGGCATCTGTCAAGTTCAGATTCATCCTGCCTGTGAGGGGGTGGAGACCTGTGAACTCAGATCCTACACTTCAAGTGACAACACTCCATGTAATTATTTTGATTAGTGTGAAATGTAAGCTATCTAGAAATTTTTCCAGAAGCAACAACACAAGCCTTAAAAAAAAAAAAACTCAAGAAATTATTGTTATTTTTAAATTCAGAGAGCCTGAACAGGACAGGGGTTATATAGGTCTCCTACCAGGAATAAAGTTGTGACCAAAATTTCCAAGAAGCCAGAAGCTCTCCACATCTCTAGTCACCTCAACTTATTTCATCCAGTATTTGATATTACAAAATTCCACTTTAAAAACTGGAATGTAAGCCGACCCCGGGAGTTGCTAAGACAGAATTAATTTAACCTATAAACCAGTTTCTGATAGGAGGAGTCATTTCACTTAAAATGAAAAATGTTATCTTATCTGCACGCAAGTGTTCTTTGGTGATGTTCTCGGCTGGGGCTCGGTGGAGAGTAAGCTCAGTCATGAAAGGACAGCAAAGCCCATGGAACAGCTAAGGAATCTGGGGAGATGCTGGGTCACACGGTACAATGCACTCCCCATCATCAGGGTCCAGAGCCTTCTGTGAATCCTGCAGAGTGACATGGCTCAAAGCACAGACCTAAGCACAGCGAGAGCAGCTGCATAGGCAGGCAGGCTCCCTTGGACACATCCCAGGATGCGCTTGCGATCCATGCAGATAGCCCCCTACACTCCCACAAACTCACTTACATACAGTCAGATAGACATATTCACACATACTCAGTCTACATGCAAACATATAACACACACATATACATACTAACACACATAGAGAAACAATCACAAATAACCCAAGATACACCCTGAGTCGTACACAAAGGCACCTCCACATACCACATTCATAAAGACACACAGACCTACACATAATTGCATATCTCACACACACACACACACACCACCATACTTTCACACACTCACACATAAACACACACACACACACACACACACACATCCTCATACACAGGCTGAGGCATTGCCATTCTGGAAAAAAGCCAATTCTCCCGAAGTCCAGCTCCATCTCTGCAAAGGAAGCCATCTCTGAATGAGGGAGCTGTCCAACCCTGGAGCCCTGGGGAAAGCGAGCACTGAGTGCTACAGAAAGCTAGGAGGAAGCAGAAACATTTTGTTCAAATAGTCTTTTGGGAGAATTTGAAATTTTTCAGATCTGCTTAGAGTTTAGATGTTCATATCTTTAGGTCTGCCAAATTATTTATACTAAATCCCAGATCGGAGTCTGATCCATCTGGGTTCAGATCTGAGTCTACCATGTATACGATCTTAGACAAATTGCTTAACCTCTTTGAGTCTCGGTTTTCTGATTTGTAAAACGGAGATGGTGACACCGGTCTCTCAGGGTTGTTGTGTGATCACATCAGGCAATGAGTATAAAACACTTAGCCCCCAAGCACCATTGCCCAGCTCAATGGCAGCTCCTTTTTCCACTCCTCGTGGCCAGTCGCCAACAAGATGAATTTACATATTTGAAGTATATTAAAATTATCTCCTGCTTTATTTCCCAAAATAATTTTCCCTTCCTTCACTGACCT